TATATATATATATATATATATATATATATATATATACTTATATATATATATATATATATATATATATATATATATATATATATATATATATATATATATATATATATATATATATATATATATATATATGAAGCTTATAGTCCTAGACGTAATAACGGACAATAACATACCCATGCAACATTTTTATTTTTTGGAAATTAATAATTTTGTAATTAAAAGTGATATTTTAGGTGATTTTTGAATTTTAAAAATGTTCTTAATAAAATTATCGTATTACCATTATGTTGATAACGTCAACGACTTTAAATTCTTCATGTTCGGAAAATATAATGGTTTTGCAAGCAAGGCGAGGGGTTTCTGCATGCATGCATGTATTTCTACTACTACAGTATATCAACTTTGCTTTCGCATGTACAAGAAATAATATTTTTATATGACATACTTTTTATGGATAAAGTATAACGTATATATGCATTTCAACGAGGCCCAACCTGCAGCTAACGCTATACTGATAAGTATTTCATCAATTCTTTATAAGCTTAGAAATATTTGCATTCGAAAAATGCTCAACATATCTGTCATATCTTATCAGCTTTAGAAACAGCGAGTCATTTCCTTTCGTTGAGAAAGAAAGAAAGCACAACTATTGTACGGAAATATCTGTCATACTTGCATGAGTTATATTATATTAATAATATACTTACCAAAAGTCTAAAAGTAATTGAATGCAAATTTTATCACTAGCATGCATGCATTTATTATATTAGGCATAAAATACTTTTAAACATGATAATGGAAGTATACGCATTCAATAAAACTGAAACGGAAATTTAATTCTATTATATATATAATAATAATTAAACATAAGACATATACTGCATGCATGCATGCATGTACATGCATGAATTAATGCGTCCTTTTTAACACTGCATTTCAGGTAAATAATTTTCTTTCCAATATCGACCCACAAAATTTGGGGCATATATCTTTAGTTTCCACTATCATTCTCGTACCCAGAGCCCTTCTTACGCGCGTTCGACCGAGCGCGACGAAGGGCTCTGGCCAAATCCATGACCGGATACCATAAAAACATGGTAATTAAGAAAACAATATCCGGTGTTTGAACTAGCCAATCAGATGCCAGTTCGGATATGGATTTGGCCAGAGCCCTCGTCGCACCACTCGTAAGAAGGGCTCTGGGTACGAGAATGTTTCCACCATTTGGGGCACGGGTAGTGAAACGAGACCGCCAGATTATACAGTTTAAATAAAATCACGTCGTTAATTTTGAATTTATAACCACCGATGAATTGCACTGAAAACGTTCTACATGCATGGAAGTATACCAGCAATAATTGCGCGGCGATATTATATTAACTTTCGTTGTTTCTAGGCATATATATATATATATATATATATATATATATATATATATATATATATATATATATATATATATATATATATATATATATATATATATATATATATATATATACCGGGTGTCCCAAAAAAAAGTACTCCTGTTTGATTCGTAATAACTTCTAAACAAATAAAGCTTTTAAAGAGAAATAACTTGCATCAAATAGAGGAAGGACTAATTTAGATTTTGATATATTACAGTTGTATTTCACTTAAAAATTCACGGAGATATTAATGTTTAAAATCGGGAGCATATTTCTGGATGTGTCTGAAATATGCCAAAAACAGCGTATCAAATATTAATCAAGATTTACCCAACTGAAACATGCACTATTACCTGTAAATAAATGATACTTGACAAATTGTTTATTATGAAACAAAGTATTATTATCTACAAAATACAAGCAAGATTTATTCGTCCGAAATCCGCGTGTGTTCCTAGCACGAATACGTTTCCTTATTTCATGAGACCACTGCATCTCGAAAGATCGTCATGGATATCGTTCGTAGTTCTGAATTAGGGCATGCTGTCACAATGGAATTGTGAAGCTCTTCTAACTTCTGCAAAGTTCTGAAATCTTGTTAAGAACACTCAAACTCTTTTGCCTTTTCTTAATCTTGTTAAGTTCAGAATAAACTGAGAATGAAACACAATCAAACCATACAACTCCATAAGACATAACAAGCAACTCCCCAGAGACATCCAACATTTTTGGAACAAAACGTAACAAAATAGTAGCGTTGATACTGTGATGTGTATTTGCAAAAAGCAATATTATTTCCTTCATTAAAGAATAATATTCATCCTGCTCTAACCGAGAAATAATCAACTCTGTTTTGAACCCATGAAAAACATAAAAAAATTAGGCTATTTAAGAAAAATTTAAGCGCCTGCCTTGCATGGTCTTTCATGTACCTTTAAGTTTGTAAAGACCTATTAAATACTTGCATAATTTCGAACGTTCATATTTCAGGAAACAATGAGCTAAGACTTACATGTAAGATGTCTAAATCTACGCCATATCCCTTACAAACCCTAACGACAATTCGCTGAAATACAAGTTAGCCTGATATGTCATTTATTAAATTAATTTAAGCAAACAAACGTTGGAGTTAATATTTGATATGCCGATTTTCGCTAATTTTAGGCACATCCCAAAATATGCTCCCGATTTTGAACATTAATATCTCCGTGAATTTCTAAGTAAAATGCAACTATAATATATCAATATCTAAGTTAGTCCTTCCTCTATTTAATGCAAGTTATTTCTGTTTGATAGCTTTACTTGTTTAGAAGTTATTATAAATCAAACCGGAGTACTTTTTTTTGGGACACCCGGTACAACAATTATCTTGAGAAGGTCAAGGCCGACAGTGTAACCAATAAGTATTAATCACCTTTGACCTTTTACATTAAAGTCATGGTTAATATTACTAACCATGACTTTAATGTAAAAGGTCAAAGGTGATTAATACTTATTGGTAAACCATGATTAAGTAACCATGACGTAATATATGAACTACGAGAGCGAGTGTTTCACCCCAATTCACCGGGATATCCAAACACGAGAAAACAATGTATGAAAACACGAGCGTGAAGCACGAGCTCGAGTTGTTTATATAGCTTCTCAAATGAATCGAGACGTAACGGAACGTTTTCGTTTGCTGATTTGAATAGAATTCTTAACCAAGCATAACGTAATTAGGAAATCTATTCAAGTAATTTTGCATGCGTAATTAAGATATTTGATGAAAACACTAGCGACTTTCATCAAGTTTCACCGCGTTATCCAAATGGCATCTTGTGATCAAATAGGTGACTATCATTGGCTGAATTGCTCATGAATTATTAATGAATTTGAGAATTTAATGTAAACAGTGATTAATACTTGATGAAACTATAGCCCTGTCCAAGCCTAGGCTCGGCTTTGGCCTAATTTGGCTTACGTCAGCCAATTAGTGAAACAAAAATATGACCAAGGCATGCCTAATCCTGTGTATGTAAACATGCCTTCCTAGGCTGAGGGTACATTACTCTTTATACTCTACCCAGCAAGCAGTAAACTTTGTGACCACTTAGGCACGGCTGCCCATACTCTCTCATATGAGTCACATTTTAGGGGGAGTTACTATTTTTAGACTTTTAGGGTTAGGATTAGGGAAAGGGTTAGGATTAGGGTTAAGTTTAAAATACAAAAGAATACAAAATTACAAAAGTCTAAAAATAGTAACTTTCCCTAAAACGTGACAGGTATATTAAAATAATAAGTGGCCGCAGATTGCTGTGAGTATGTTTGGAAATGGGGGTGTTTGGAAATGGGGGGGCACACCAGTGACTAATGCCTATTGTGGTCAGAATATTTTAACTGTATACCATATTTTTTGTCCATGGTATAGTTTACAGGTACAATAAATATATTTACTCCAACCAAATGTCATCCATATATAAGCCCTCCCTCCCATGTATAAGCCCATTGAAAAAGGTTACAAACAAATATAAGCCCAGGGTTTACAGTATGTCAACTCCTTTTTCTTTTACTCGGCGAAAAAGTTCGGTAGCGATGGGGGTGGGGGTGCATACCTGCTCAGCTCTGCAGTCCCTGTATTTTACTCTGTCTAACCTGTCAAAGGCCAGATAATTTAAATAATGTTGACTTTCAACGGCAAATTTAATTTCGCCTAAACTGGCCTGATAAGTATAGGTAGTCATGCGATGGCGAGTACAATTAGGGATTAATAGTATGAGTGATGTTTGGAAATTTTGCCAAAATTGGACAAGCCGCCGTATTATTAGCATGACAAAATTGGATAAGTCTCAATGTCAACATCATATTATCTCGCCAAAGCCAGTCCTGCCAGACTTTCAACCAAAATTTGCTGCTTTTGTTTGTATTTTCATTTAGTTCTTTTGTTAAAGCAAAATTCAGTGCTTTTGTTCGTTTTTTCATCTAGTTCCGCAAGGGCAATTTCAGTTCACTTTTGTGTTTAAAATACCTTTCCGCCATTTTGTTTGTTTTGGGGAAATGGGTTGTTCCAGAAATGATCCATACTCCCCCCACGGAGGAAATTTCTGCCGTCCGGAGGGGGAGGGGAGAAAAAATTGTTTGTGATAATAGTAAATGTATTAGGACATCCGAAGGGGGGTTATCTTCCTATTTCCTCCGTGGGGGTGGTATGGATGTTTTCTGGAATGACCCAATCATTAATTGTACTGCAGTACAATTAATGAAATAATTGTACTCCTCTCAACCAATCAGCATCCAGTAATTTTGTCATGCTAATAATAAATATTCATAAAAACACTTGGTCATCAGAATCAGTTCATTAAGCCATGCAATTTAGCAGGTATACAAACCAATGAAACCATATAAATAAATTCATTAAAACACCGGAAAAACAAAATACATTCGAAATATCACACAGGAGTGTATTTAATAAAAAGAGTGACAGAATTTATGTACAAGGTCGTATCAATTGCAATTACATATTTTCAAACCCCGGGGTGCAGAAACCCTTTAAAACAATGCCTACCCTTGCTAATAAATTTTATAGAAAGCTATATTACTCTAAAAAACACGTCAAACGGATGGATATTGTTTGGTTACCGCTAGAGGATGCAGGAAACAATTCTCTGCGGTTAATCTTTGATTCTCTTCACGTAATTTTTCGATTTCATGCTCTAAAGTCTGTCGACCTCTATTTTGGCTAGTATCAACATTGCTATCGTTTATATCGTCCCCTGGTGTGGAACAACCATTTACCTTATCATTCGATTTAATACTCATCAATTCCCGCTCCAAATTCTCGACTTTATTTTCTAGTTCTATGTACTCGTTTATAAGCTCTTCCTTGTTCATGCGACGCAGAGTCTCAGAATGAATGCGGTCGTACGTCTCGGCAAAATCCTTTTGCAAAAAATTCCGTACATCTTCGATATCTCTTTCTTCGTTTGAAAGCGACGCGGATTCGGCTTCGTCGGAATCGTCAGCCGAACTGGAAAACCTCGTCGTCCTGTGTACGTGCAGGTCTGGTTCTTGAGTGTCATGTTCAGCCATTAAAAATTGTGAAGTGTTAAATGGTGCGAGCGGCCGACCCTTCTCGTGCATGTATTTCTCGCGAATACTCACGGCTCTTCGGCTGTCTCTTTCTTCTACGGCTTTCTTTTCTTCCCAAGTTAGCTTCGAATACGGTTTGTATTTCTTCTTGCTTCGCCTCGAACCACGACGATGTTTCTTCTTTATGACCATGGGCTTGTACTGTTCATTGTTGCTTGTGTTTACGCTTGGCTCCTTGCTCGAAGGCGAATCTTGAACGATTTTTAGAGCATTCGTACACTCGGTTTCCCCATCTTTCGCTTTAAACGCTTCATTCATGTTAGAACTATCGGTAGTCTCTTTTTCTTTGCTATCTAACTCGTTCATCGTTACATCGCAGTTCATATTTGAAGTCATGTTGCTACAAATACAATACTACGTCTACGTTACATGTCCTTCGATATAGCCCAAGATGTCGAAATTAAACGGCGGTGAAATTTTGCCAAACAAAATTTCTCCCGTTAACAAAATGTTTGTAAAATAGAATGCTATTTAAATAGAAATGTTTTGTCGAAAATAAGACACTAAATAGCAACAGACTGTCGTTTCAATATTGTAAACAATCACGCTTGAAGTCTGTCTCAAAAATCCTTGAGGCTCGAAAGAATAATAAATATATCGCAAGTCATGTGTCTGTTAATGGTTTTCATTGGCTTATATTTTGCGGATTAATTGCATGAACGGGAAAGCGGACAGAAAAACCGTGCGGATTGGCATGTTGGAATAGAACGACCGGAATAAACAGAAATTTCTAATTAAAAGAACATTCCTGCGAGAAAATCACCACTGTTTACTTTGTATTTTTATTGAGTACATTGCAAAAATGACATAGTTGTAATGTAACGTGCTATAGTGTGATTAGCCTTTCTCACGATGACGAATATCCGCCATTTTTGGGTGGCATCAAATTTTCATTATCCAATGCAGACAATTAAAACAATGTTTTTTAAAATAAACTAACAATTTACAAAGCAAATTTACCATCATTCGTCCAAAAAATTATAAAAAGTCGCTGTTATGTGGACTTATCGCACAGACTTCAGCTGAAATGCCACCCAAAAATGGCGGCGTGAGAAAGGCTAATTACTGCTCAAGGGTGAGTTGAATATAACTTAAACGGTTTTTGTAATACATGTATGTTAATAGTTTGGTATATAAGGCACAACATTGTGCCTTATATACCAAACTATTGTATAATATATGTATAATGTAATATATTCATAATGTAATATATTCAAATATATGTATAATCAGTTTTAAATGTTTTTGTTTGTGGAAACACCACGTAAATTTATTGCAGCAATAAATTTACGTGGTGTTTCCACAAACAAAAACATTTATATTTTATCGCCATGCAAACATTCAAAGAACTTATAATCAGTTTTGTTTGCTTGGGGGGAGGGAGGGGGGATTAGAATATAGCGATACCATACCATATCATACCATACCATACCATACCATACATACCATACCATACATACCATACCATACCCACTATATATATATATATATATATATATATATATATATATATATATATATATATATATATATATATATATATATATATATATATATATATATACCGGGTGGCGCAAAAAAAAGTATAACTGTTTGATTGCATATAGCTCAAAGACCATAAGCAGTAGAATCCAAATTTTGGTATATTCGACAGGCATTTTCGTCCAAGATTGACTGAGATATGAGTGTTTAAACTTTTGTTAGCAAATTTGAAACGGTCACAAATTAGCTAAAAACGGCCTATTAAACTGATTTTTAGCTAATTTGTGACCGTTTCAAAATTGTTAACAAAAGTTTAAACTCTTATATCTCAGTTAATCTTGGACGAATATGCCTGTCAAATATACCAAAATTTAAGTTAGATATCGCTGGATGCAATAAAACTCGATTTATGGTTCTACTGCTTATTGTTTCTGAGTTACAAGTAATCAAACAGTTGTACTTTTTTTTGCGCCACCCGGTATATACTATATATATACTATATATATACTATATATTTACTATATATTTACTATATATATACTATATATATACTATATATATACTATATATATACTATATATATACTATATATATACTATATATATACTATATATATACTATATATATACTATATATATACTATATATATACTATATATATACTATATATATACTATATATAGTATATATATATACTATATATATACTATATATATACTATATATATACTATATATATACTATATATATACTATATAATAGGAACGAACGTAGAAGCGCGGTTGCGCGAGGAGCGCGAGCTCAATCGCTCCGCATTTATTGCAAATTTTTACTGCTAATCCTGTGAAATTGAATCTGAATTTCTGTTGGATTCTTAATCAAAGACAGATCTACCTGGAATTAACAAATTTTGTGAATCGTGTACAGAACTGACTGGATTTTTGCAGATATATTTCATTGTTGCTACGATTTGAAAATAGATTTCAGAATTTTCGGTTGGAACCGTTAAGCTTACGTAAGCACGCGCACGCGACATCAGTTGCGTCAACGGAAAAACTTTCAAATTGGAATTAGAATTTTCAATTAACAACCTATTTAATTTGAATAATTGGATTCTTCGCGTTTTGGGGGAAGCTTGATTGAGAGATATCATCCAATGATTTTATCTACGAAAGCTTGTGAACATACGAACATGAATATCATCAAGATTTCTCCTTGTATCGTCCTTGTGATACTGTTTTGTGGACTAAACTTTTCCATTTTATCGAATGAGAGATGTCAATTTAATCACACGAAATGGTCTGACGTTTTAGGCTCCAATTTGAAATTCGTAGCAACTCGCGCACGGAACAGTTGTGTTTGTTTTGTTCAAGCATACAAACTTAAACGGTTTCTTAAACGAAGAATCAAATATAATACAAAGTCATCTGCCACGTTTAATCCAGCGATAGTGATGTTAACAAGAAGCGGCGTAAATCTAGTTAATCCCGGTCCTGAACAACAACGCCAAAAAACTGTTAGTCTCAACGTCGTGCAAGAACCAGATGCGAAGTCTTCAAACTGCAACCGTCGTTTGCCTAAACACGAACTCTCGTTAGCGCATTTTAACTGTAGAAGTCTAATGGCTCATATTGACGAACTGAGATTAACTTTTCAGAATATCAATCCTTTATTTATTGGCATAACGGAGACATGGCTGGAAAGCTCTATTGCGGATTCGGAAATCGAACTACCTGGATTTTCCGTAAATCGCCTTGATCGGAAAGGAAACCGCAGGGGAGGAGGAGTCGCACTGTACTTATCAAGTAACGTGAAATACACCAGAAGAAAGGACTTGGAAGAAGATTTTGAAGTAATATGGGTTGAAATTAAACTGCAAAAAGCAAAGTTTTTAATCGGATGTGTGTATCGGGCTCCAGATGAAACTCTCCGGATTTTCGATTACCTTGACGATGTTATGAGATATGCGACAAGAAATAAGCTAGAAGTCATTATTGTTGGTGATCTTAATTGTGATTGTTTAAACGCAACTTTAAAACAAACAGAGAGGCTGTCAGAATTTACAATGGTCAACAAACTTGAACAGTTGATAAATGAACCTACCCGCGTTACGTCCACTACCAGTACTCTCATTGATGTCTTAATCACTTCAACGCCTAATTTGTTTAAGGACTCTGGAGTTATGGATATAACATTAAGTGACCATTACCCTATTTATGGTGTTATGTACGGTCCAGTAACCCACTCCAAGAAACATCGGATAATAACAACGCGTTCTTGGGATGACAACAAAGTGAATGCTTTTCTGGCTGATCTGAAACACGCTCCGTGGAGCCTGGTTGATTCTTTCGACAATGTGGACAGTATGTGTTCTGTATGGGAATCACTAATGAAATCCTTAATTGACCAACATTTCCCCTTAAAGCGAAAGCGTATTCGAAGACAGACTCACCCATGGCTTGATAGCACTACACTCAAGCTCATGAGAACACGTGATCAAATGCACAAAAAGGCAAAAAGATCAGGACTGTCTCAGGACTGGATCGAATACAGACGCCTTCGTAACAAAGTAACCGAAATAAACAGAAAGGCAAGAAAAGATTACTTCAGAAACAAGCTTGAAGAAAATCGTGGAAAGCCCAAAGCTTTCTGGGACACATTACGTCTGATCCTTCCATCCAAGAAAAACTGCAATGAAATTGAAAGGTTAGTGGTTGATGGTGAAGAGTTAAGTGACAAGCGTGACATTGCTAATTCTTTAAACGAATATTTTACAACAATTGCATCCTCGTTGTTAGCCAGTCACCAATCCCACAAGTACCTAGCAGCTCCACAGCAGGAAAAC